CGCAAGTTCTCTAAGCGTAAGGTAATTAATATAGTAATCCTCTTTAAGGAGACAGGCGAAATACCCGTCGACCCTAAGTTAAGTAAGCTAGTAGCAAATAAGTCGCCTAGCTTAGAACTTAAGGATAGGTTGCTATACTATAAGAATAAACTAGGGACTAAGATACTATATATCGACCCTAAGTTTAGGTAAGATTTCTTAGAGCGTTACTATAAGGACTATAGCTACTTTAGTATCCTAGGAGTAAATAGCATCCTCCGTATAAGAGGATAGTAGTAGTCTCTTAAGAGGGATGTCGAGGACTATATAAGGAACTGCCCCTAGTATTAAGTTACTCGCAAAAAGCCTCGATTAGGGACGGCCGCCTAAGAACTACACTTCTACTAAAACGATCGCACCCTTAAGCTATTTAAACGATAGGCGATCGATATAGTAGGCCCTCTTCCTATTACTCTTAATAGAAAYAAGTAYATTATTATAGTAATCGACTATACTATAGGCTAGCTACTTATAAGAGCAGTCCCTAATTAAGAGACTAAGACTATTATAAGGTTCGTGCAAGAAGAGATCTATACGAACTTTAGGCTATCTAGAGAAGTCTTAAGCGATAATAGCTTAAATTTTATCTCTAAGGCATTTAATATACTAATAGATACCCTCTAAGCTAACTACCGCCTTATAACTCTATACTATCCCTAGACTAATAGGAAGGTTAAAGCCTTAAACGGTGTACTTAGACGGATCCTTACTAAGATATACTATAGCAAGAGCGTCTATATATAGGATCTCTACTTGCCTAAAGCACTCTATATAAGTCGAATTCGAACTTAATCGAATTCTAGCTTAAGTCCTTTCTTCTTACTATTCGGATAGGAACCCTAAATACTTAGAGATTACCTATACCTACGACTTATAGAGCTTAATCCTAACGATATTACTAAGCGCTACTAAGTGCTCCTTAATGCAAGGAGCCTCGTAGCGGAAAGACTAATTATAAAAGCAGCTCGATCTAAGGCTATTAGCTCTAAGACCTTTATAAATACTAATAGTAAGTTTAAGGAAGGAGACTTTATACTCGTCGTGCATAAGATAAAGACTAAGCTCTAACCTAACTATATTAGGCTATTTAAGATCCTTAAGCGCAGCTAGCTTAGGACCTACACTCTTAAAAAAGAGGATAGCTTAGTAGTTAAGTATTAAGTAAACGGCGACCGCCTAATTAAGGCGCACGCTACTACTAGCTTTAAGGAATAGAATAGAAGATTATATACTAGTAATACTATTTTACCTAAAGCTACTAGACTTAAGTTTAACGAGAGCCTTAGCGATAATGTTAAAACCGCCTTAAGCTTCTTAACCCTAGCTTCGATCCCTAAGAAGAAATAGGAGAAGTTGTCTAAGATAACACTTAATCGGTTAGGGGCCCTTAAATTCTTAATAGGGGAGGGCAAACCGCTAGATCTATAGCGTCTTAAAGATATACTACGCTTTAAGAAGCGGCTTAACGAAGCTGCTAAACAAATCCGGAAAAGCAATAGCGAAGTTTTACGCGCAAGTTAAGAGAGCGTAAAGCAAGCAGAAGCTTTACGAGCTACTCTTAAAAAGAAACGCTATTAGGAGTTAAAAAAGAATCCTCTAAGTTAGCGGCCTACTATTATATAGCCTCTAAATCCTACTACGACACCTAGGGAAGATGCCTAAGTTAACCTAGTAGTTAAAAACCTCGTTGCTAGTCTCCCTAAAAGAGTAATAGAGCTAGAACCTACGGCCTAAGAAGACCTACTATAGGAAACCGATAGCCTAAGTACCTCCTATAATACTAAAGGCTATCTAATCTAGCCCCTAAACGCTCCCTTAAGTAGAAACTAGATCCCTAGTAATAACCTAAATAACTTAAGTGCTAAACCTTCTTATCCTATTGCTATTCTAGCTCTACCCCTAAGATAGAATAGAAGCCCTAGCGCTACCCTAAGGAAGGAGCTAGTAGGGGAGGAATTGCCCTTAACGATCCTACGACGAAGAGGGAGACCGCCTAAGGCAACTCCTCTAGCGACTAAGACTAAGATACCTCTACTATATAAGA